AACAGATTTTAAAATGTGTCATGATTTGATTATTATTGTACTTCCGCATTACTCTGAAAATATTTTTAAATGGGTCGCGATCCAGAGTCTGTAAATTTAATATTTTTAAGTAATTGTCATATTCAAATGTCAAGTGAAATTTTTATTTAACTCTCGTTTCACCTTAATTCGTGTAATTCCGGGTTATACGGATTGGGGTGTTACATTTTGGTATCAGAGCAAAACGATTTTCGGATCATTGAGTCAATATTTTCAAAGTCCTGCATCCACATCCTCCACGACATCTCTGCCCCGGGAAGGTAATCAACAAGTAAGTTACTATGGCATAACACACAATCTTAACTCATTGAAAATTTGCTTCCTTTGAGTTGCTAGTATCCTCATAGACTCGATTACAACAAAGTTTAGATTGCCTCGAAATGTTCTTCAGCGATCACAGTCGACATCAGAAGATCAAAAAAAGGACTGTAAACTCGACAAGCGCGACATATACGGATGTCATAGTACGCAAATGGCTAAGTGAATAATGTGAATCAACTTCCCTCTACCCGAAGGATACGTTGAAGAAAGAACTTTCTCCAATAGGAAGTGAACGAATTCTCCAAAAGGTAAATCTGTCGTTTTCTAAAAGCATGAATAGAACCTCACAAACCAGATCGAATACGACATATGTATCGAATCTGAAACACCTTCTAGGAGTGAATCTACATACAAATATTAAGATAACTGACTCGTTCGTATACCCTATTCACGTGAAAGGTCGCAACAAGATGACAGTACAAAACAAGATGTGAAACTGTCACATCAATAGAGAAAGACTCGAAGATAAAGAAAAGGATTAATATTTACATGGTACATATTGATGTTAGAAATAAATACTCTTCTGAAATGCACTGGTCATGCAGCTTAGAACGATATTTATGACTAACAGATAATGTACATGGATAATATTATATTACAGATGCAACTCTAAGTCTAATCTTCCAGGATTTGCAAACTCTTCATAACTGGCACCAGGACCCGGGAAAGCATTAGCAAACTCTACCTTGTCCAAAAGCTAATCAACAAAGAAAGAAGAAATAAAAAGTTTCCTCTGATTCAAAGCCATGAAGTTCTGTCTCACCGCATCATCTAGAAACTTGATTAGGTTATTGAAATAACCATCAATGTTCAAAAGACCAACGGGTTTACTGTGTAACCCTTCGGATGCCCATGAGATCAAAGTGAATAAACCCTCCATAGTGTCAATTCCTCCAGGAAGTACAATGAAGGCTTCCACAATATGATTCATCTCGAAATACTTATAGTAATTGCTGGAGACGGTGTACTCCACACCATATGTTGGTCCATAGACCCCTCGTGTTGCTATATACCCTGGTATGAAACCTCTGACTCTACCACCATTATTATAGACCGTTGAAGCTACAGCTCCTTGAAGGCCAACGTTGCCTCCTCCGTAGGTAAGCCTGATTTTTCGCCTTACCAATTCACTTCCTAGATCAACCGCTGTAGCCATGAACCTTGGATTGCTACCAAGAGCATGACTACCAAGTAGACCAACAAATCTTATGGTATTAGAAAGAGCTCGAGAAGTTCCTTCCATAATGTGAGAATGTGAGACGCTCTTGCCACAATTTGGTATATATAGACTCTGAAACTGGACCATTGATGGAAAAGTAATTATCACTAGTCTAAAAACGTACAGGAAAGTGGATTTGCTCCAGACAAGAATGTACTCGCCAATACTACAGTCTGCTGACGACATGACATATTGAGACTCATGAATAGTTAGGCTCGTTGTCCTGAAATACATTCAAATCCGAGACGAAAAGTCAAAATGACTACTTCCCTAGAGAATGACTCTTTGAGTAATTTCCAAAGGGCGAAACATTGAGTGGTAATTCGCAAATGTTATCTTTGTATCTTGTGACTCGCATTCTTGAAATACTAAAACTTGCTGTGTTAATTACACACTTGAAGCATCTCACTTGATCAATCTTGAAAAGATTGAATTCCATTTTCTGTATCAAATCATTGAAGAACTTGTTGTAACTCATGACTCTCCCTCAAACCCAAGAAGATGTTTTATGATACCGATCTTCAAAAACCATACTCTGTAACGATTGATGTGACTACGTTATCTATGAAAATTATTATCAATGATGATCAAGCAACTCTGCTTTAACCCTAACAAAGGAACATATGTGCAACAACTAGAAAGGAAAAGTTGTCATTTGTGTGGTGAATATGACCACACTGAAGGTAAATGTGATCTCCACTTAAGTCAATTGGGCGGACCACCAAGAGAAACCACGCATGTGTCTATAGAATCCCAAAGATATTAGAATATGACTATGTGTATAATTTTTCATGTTTTTAGTAATAAGTAATTTAACTATTGTGTGATGAATATTAGTGATATGACGAATACACTAATATTATAATTTTCGAGCACGAAGCTCTATCATAATTATTGAGAAAGTTGGAAATCCCAAGGCAATTCTGGAATCATCAATCAGAAAATCAGTATTCAAGAATGACTACATATCATATTGATAATACAAACAGTGACAAAATAACAAGTGTTATCCAATACGTTCATCCAATCATTACAATGTGATAAAAAAACATATATTATTGTTATACATAAGTGTGATATGCATGTTTACGGTTATAGGCATGCATAAGCCATGTGAAATCAGATTGTTGACATTACGTTAGTCAGAATAACTCCATTAAGGATCGCTAATGAAAGTTCAAGTTTTGAAACTATAATTACATATTCATCTAAGAAACCTAGAATGATGACTATGGTAATAGTCATTTCCCAAAATACCGTTATGTAAAAAAAACGTCAAACCTC